GGTTTCCCACCACTTAAGCCATGCCTCCAGCTGGCTTTTTGATAATCTAGATATGGAATCTCACAGACTTTTCTGCACAGGCTGACTTTGAACTGAAATCATCTGGATCTCAGCCTCTTGAGTTTCTAGATTTGTAGGTTTAAGCCACTGGCACCTACCTAGCATCTTTGGTTTTATTTTTCCTCTACTTTCGTTGGGTAAAAAAAGAACCTTGTTTGGTGATTTTGTTTGTTCATATCTTTAAGGTTAGCATATTAGATTGTGAGGTTTACAATGACCTTGAAGAAAATGAGCTACAAATACACAGAAAACAAGTTGACACAATGGAATGATATATATGAAGTCATATTCTGTCTTGCCACTTAATAATTGTGATCATGTTTATGTCTCAACCAGCTCCTATGTTCTTAATAGGTTGTTTTCTGCCATCTACCCAAACTATTCAATTTAAGATTTTCTAATGTAGACTTTCTTAATACCTATACATTTTGTTCAAAGCCCCTTTTATCACTTGAAATTATATATTTCAGTGTTTATGTTTATGTAATTTGTTTTTCCTATTGCATTGGAATTTATAACAGTAGAGAACTCTTGTCTGCTTTATTCACCGCTTCATACCCTGCCTTAACACACTACTGATTACACAATAGGCAAACAATAAATATTTGTTGAATAAATAAGCTTAACATATAACATACCCATTTTATATCTTTCACAAATATAAAACTGTACACCTACATCTCATCTGGAAAGCCTTTGAGAAAATCAAGAGTAGTTCTCATACCCTATACTTAGATATATCTAGGAGTATCAAGCTTAAGAAATTGTGCTCAGACCTTTATGTCCCTTGTGTCTCACAAATTAGTGAAATTGGCCTAGACTGAGAAGTTCTCCTGTTAGAATCATATATTTTTGACTTATGGCTAGTAGAGTTGCTGGCTCATATAGTAAGTACTCAGAATATACAAAACAAAAACAAAAAACCTAAACCCAAAACACTGTCCCCCCCCACAAACCTAAATGAGTTAGCAGTCGTCTTTTTTTGAGATGACATTAGGAATAAATTGTTAATTTGTGTTTAGACATTCATTTTCTGGTTAGAGTAAGACATTTGTTTGGGATGTGAACCAGCTTTGAAAGATAAATGTATACAACATAATCTTTCCAGTAAATCTTGCTACTATTTCTGTGACTACATATGTTAACATTTTTATAATTTGCTTCCAAATGGCAAACACAGATGGCTGTAGTCTGAATTTTCAGCATGTTTTAGAATAAATGTTTTCTCAGTAGTTTAAAATGCATCATTTCAGTATCAGATGGTTACTTAATTGAGTAGTTTTAAAATTTTTTTTTGCTAATTTGCCAACTACTTTTCAGATTTAAAATAAATAGCTATTAGAAATGGAATAAATGATAAGATCTGTGTTTTCTCTCATTTTATCAAACAGGACTCTTGGCAGAAACCTAGTCTAGCTATTATTTTTTCTGAGAACTTGTTTCTTGGAGAAGATTATAGAGGGAAAGATTAATTTTATGTCTTCATGTGCCTATTAACTAGAAATTATTTATTTTAATCTTGATCATACAACTTTTTAAGAGTTGAATTGTATATGCCTTGTATGTTGTCTTGGTTTATCATGTTAAGTGAAGCAGTACTTAAAAACTATTGTTTGGTGCTAATTTTGCTATAAAAGATAAATATATTCATTGTATTTATTCTTGAGTACTGTTTTAGTACTGAAAGTTCTAGAATACTTGGAATACTAGTATTCTGAATTTAAATTTTACTATTTTGTTATATACATGTATGTCTAAATAGATGTTGAATATAAACTGTATGTAATTTAACAATCAGAATTTTGAATACTTCCATCCTTATCCTGAATTATTCTGTTTTCTAAATTTATTCTAAAGAGATAATGTGCTGCTTCAAGAAGTTACTAAAATATAGAATAAATATTGAGAATGTCATTATTAATATTTTTGGTATTTCATCTTTTCTGAAGTTTCCTTCCTTATTAAATGATGTACTTAGACTTTTAATTCTGTTTACAGATTATGTATTCAGATGTATTTCAGTTTATTTTTAAGAATGAATCTGTTATCCTTTAAAGTAGTTTAAGCACATTCTAGCAGCTGAATAATGTACAAATAGACACAACTGGTCTTGCACCTGTTCTTCAAGCAGACATAAGTTGAAATAACTAAGTATTTATTTAAATAAGTAGGACCTTTTAAAATATGATATATTTTATATCTAGTGATTAGCTGTTTCTTTTCTTTTTTTCCTTTTGAGACAGTTTTATGTGTAGCCCATGCTGGCCTCAAACTCTGAATCCTGCTTACCAGGATTATAGGAGATTTCAGTGATACCTGGTGTCATTATCCCTTTTTAATTTATGAGTTAAATGATACCTTCATATAGTAAGTAGAACAGATATATCTTTTTCTACTATAGCAGGTAAAAATAACTATGAAAATACTACATTTTATTTATAGGTAATATATTTTCCACATATTTTGGTAGTTAATAACATCAACATCATGAACAAGGTTGTTTAAATATAATAAGAAACTGGCCATTTAAAATTTTTCATAGTTAATAGTTATAGCAATTGTAGTAGTATATTCTTTTCAAAAAATTTATTTAGTTTTTGTTTATGTGGTACCAAGGAATCAAACCCAGAGCCTCATGCATGGTAGGCAAGCACTCTACCACTAAGCCACATTCCTAGCCCTATTCCTTCTTTTTAATGCACAAGGAAGTCTAGTCCTCTCGTTTTTCTCAGGATGATTTAAGTGCATAAATTAAATTTGGAAATTGTTTATAATTTCTTATAAAAATTAGAACATTTTTTACTGCATAAAATGAAATTTAATCAGGAAAAAGAAAATTACCTATAATCTCAAATGTAGAGATATACCAAAGCTGTAGATATACTCTTTCAGAATTTACCTATGCCTATGTATAAGGTGTTATTAAAATTCAGCTAGGTATAATTGTTGAAAGCTATGAGTATAAGGCTTGACATGCTTTGTCTTTATTAAAATGTTTAAGCTAGGTGCCAGTAATTCTAGCTATTCTGAAAGCTGAGTAAGATCTGAGGATCATGGTTCAAAGCCAACCTGGGCAGGAAAGTCCCTGAGACTCTTACCTCTAATAAGCCACTCCCCCCCCCCAAAAAAAAAAGCCAGAAGTAGTGAATCGAGTAGTAGAGAGTACTCGCTTTAAACAAAAAACTGAGGGACAGCACTGAAGACCTGAGTTCAAGCCCCAAGACTGTAAAAAAACAAAAACAAAACTAGGAGTTTAATTTTTTTCTTCTATGAAAATTATAGCACACAAATGGCGGGAGGAAGGGTTACAAATGTAATCATTATATTCAATGTATACTGTGAAAAAATTGAACTATAATTGAGAATGAAGAAAGGGGTAATTTTGATCAACATGCATTGTACTTATAACCTAACTTCTGGAATTGAAGCCTCTATGTACAGGTACTTAACAGTAAAAATTTAAAAGTAATTATACTGCAATACTATTTCATACCTAGTCTGTCATGACTATATTAGCGATAATAGTTTGCACTAATTATTATTAGTTACTAGGGTAATTGAATTCAAGGTGCTCTACCCCTAGCCAATTTTGCTTTAGCTATTTTTTACTTTAGCTATTTTTCAGATAGATTGTAGCATTCCTGCTTGGGATTGTTCTTAGACCACCGCCCTCCTCCTTGTGGACTCCCTCATATCTGGTATTACAGCACATGCCACCATAGCCAGCTTGTTTGTTGAGATTGAAACAGGTAGAGGGAGGAGAGTATAATAACTTGGGTCTAAGTTGGCCTTAAACTATGATCCTTCCAATCTCTGCCTCTCAAGTGGCTGGAATAATAGATGGGAGCCACTGCTCATACTCATACTTCTCATTTATATTAAAAAGCACTAAGTATCATTGTAGGAATGCTTTACCTCTCCCAGTTTTCTTTGGATTTTGATAGCTGTGGTTTACGTACTTTTGTCCTATAATCCTTCTAGTACATGTCCATATATCTCAAAGTCTTCAGCAACCTCTAACATTTTAATAATGTATTTATTATTGTTTTTATTTTTATTTCTTTTGAAAAGGAAATGAGATACAGACTGACTTTTAACTTACACAGGATTAAAAATGTCCATTTAAGATAAATTGAAAGAAAAAAATACACTAGTTAGCTGGGCACTGGTGGCTCATGCCCGTAATCCTAGCTACTCAGGAGGCTGAGATCTGAGGATTGCTGTTCAAAGCCAGTGTGGGCAGGAAAAGTCTCATGGACTTTTAGCTTAACCACCAGAAAACCAGAAGTGGAGCTGGTTGCTCAAAATGGTAGAATACTAGCCTTGAGCAAAAGAGTTCAGGGACAGAGCTCAAGCCTAGAGTTTAAGCTCCACAACTTAAAAAAAATTTTTTTTAATTATTCTTTATTTTTTCCCTCTTATATTTAAGTTACAGTGACCATTTAAAGAGTGTTTTAGCATAGAGTAATAGCTTTTAGTATAAAGTAGAATCTGCAGAAACAGACTTGGAGCTACTTTGTGTGCGTGTATATATGTTTTCACTTAATCTTAGATGTAGAGATTTTACTGTTCCCAAATAAACACATTTCAATATATATTTTCTCTTAGTCTACCTAACCCTTGAGCTAATTTCAGACAAGACATTTTCAATTTTCACCCCTAATTTAGATGGGCCTAGTTGTGTGTGTGTGTGTGTGTGTGTGTGTGTGTGTGTGTGTGTGTGTGTGTGTGTTTGGTTTGTTTGTTTTTGCAGTATAGTTAGACTTCATGTTAAAGACTATAGTGGTTGTCCTTTACTTTTCTCTTCATTTTCTTTTAGTGATAGCTTGAACTTTGAAAAATCATTTATTCATAGCTTTGAACCCAAAGCTGCTTTATTCTTAATAACAATAAAGATCAATTGAGGATAATAACACTTTCTTTTTTTTTTTTTTCTGTAGCTTGCCCAGTTTCGACAAAGAAAAGCTCAATCTGATGGGCAGAATCTTCCTAAGAAGCAGAAAAAAAAGAGAAAAGTCTCAAGTTGTAAGCATGATGTGCATGGTTTGAGTATTGATCAACAGAGTGATCAGATATATATAAATAGTTCTCAGGAGGTAGAATCAACTATGACTCCTGATTCCACCATAATGAGAACTTTGCACAGTGGAGGAATTGTCAAGCATGACCAGCTCTACTCTGCTGAGGTAAGTATCCATTCTGATTCTGAAACCTTAGAGCTCTAAATGGAAGTAGTTGCAATTCAGTTGTAGTTTTTGTATTCTTTTGCAAATTTAAGTAGTGTGGCAGCTAAATAGACCTAAAATATGCAGTAACTCTTGAGAGTAAGTTTGTGAGAGAAATTGTAGTTGGATTAGGATGATGAGTGGATCAAGGCTAGGTAAAGAAAAAAGATAGATTGCTCAGAAGGAAAAGGCAGATGTTGATAATTATTTGGATTATTCTATGACATATTTATTTGAAAACAGCAAGACTAGCATATGAAGGGATTTAAACTGTGTTGAAAAGGTCAGGATAAGCTGGACAACAGTGATTTATACTTGTAATCTTGGTTATTCAGGAGGCTGAGACTTTTAGTATCACAGTTTGAAATTGCCCTGGGCTGGAAAGTCTGCAAGACTCATCTCCCACTAACTAGCAAAATTTGGAAGTGTAGCTCAAGAGTGCCAGCTGTTAGCAAGACAGCCCAGCAAAAGTATAGGACCTTAGTTCAAATCCTGAAACTGACACACAAGAGAGAGGGGGAAGGAGGTGTCAGGATAGAATGGAAGGCAGTACATGCTATTGAGCAATTTTTTATCCTTCAAATACAGGGAATTCCTGTCATCTGCCCTGTATGCTGAATTAGTGGATATTGAGCCATTTCTCTTAGGAGAAATCAGAATTAGGTTCCTAGGAGCCATGGGATATTTTATCAGCTATTTGATACATTAATTTCAGTTTATACGTATTTGTATATCTAAGTCTCTCCGTATTCATTATTACCATTAAACTGTAGTTAAAGAATCAATAATATATGTTAATGAATCAGCCATGTATATTAAGAAATAGAAACATAAACCTATATCACAAAAAAAATATAAGCAAAGCTCATCCTAATACACATTTTCTTCCTAAAGTACATCACAACCTTTCTACTCCTAGGAGCACTATGACAGCATTATACTTTGTGGTCATTTTACACAGTGAATGCCCAAGTTAGCCTATTGTATATTTGGGAGGATAGAGATACAAGAATTAGAGTTATGGTATTCTCCTTGGTGCTCTTGGCTTATAGATCATATGTACTGTGTATGAGAACACACATGGAATATGGTCTCATACATGTGGAATATTCCTCTTGAGAATACTGTGTTTAGAAAAATGCTTTGATACATTTTATATGCTTCATTTAGTCATGTAATTTATTAATTAAGCACAAGTTGTACAAATCTGAATGTTCTTCGTTAGACTTTTAGTAGTATTTTATGTGATGTTTAGAATTTTATGTGAGTTTTCTAATATAGCTTAGTAAAGTTATGTGAGTTTTCTAGTATAGCTTAGTTAGTTTTCTAATAATAGCTTAGTAAAATATGATACTTAGCAGTTTTAAAAAGTCATGATTATAATAGGTTTTTACTTTTGTTTTAGCCAGAAAGTGAAATTTCAACCACAGCAGATGATTATAGTTCAGAGGTAAGACTTCATAACATCGTACGTTTTAAACAAAATTGATGTTTTATATTATTGAAAATATTAGCTGGTACTTTATGTCTTGTAAATTTACATGATTCTATTATATTTTATGAATATAACAATGTAAATAGAAAACGCGAAGATGTATTTTACAATGACATCTTTTTTACAGATTGTTTGCTTCGTCTTTAATTAGAGAACCAGTTTTTGTTTCTGGAAAAGTAATGATACTGGATTTTTTAGTATACATAACCATAACAAAGTATCCTCATTTAGCATAGTAGAAATTTTGTCAGATATTTTCTTTGGAGTATATGCTTTACTTTTTTTTTAAATTTGGAGTAAAACATTTTATAAATGCTTGAATTATAGTTAACAATACAAGTTTGTCTATTGAAATTAATGTTGTAACAATTATTTTAGATTATAAACTATAATTCACTTTTTGGGAATATTTCTATATGTGTTGGTAATATATCATTTTGTTATTTTATTTTAGATGTGATTGTCATTTCTTGACAATCATATTGGAGTTAGAGGATATGGGAAACTATTCCATTCTGTCTCAACAACTTAATGTATTCCTGAGTCTCAATTTATTGTAGGCTTCCAAAATAAGTATCTGACTTATATTAGTTATATAAAGTTGTGCCTAGTGGAAGTATCTTGATTTAAAATTTTTCAGAATCTGCTTTTGTGACTTCAAATTTAATGTTTATGTATAGTATTAGAAATTTTTGTTACAATGAGACATTCTTTGCCTAAATTTTTAATTAAACTAATGGGGATTATGAAATTCAAAAAAAAATATATTGAAAATTTTATTCATGACATTTTATATGTGTTTCAAAATAATGTATAAATGGAATTTAATACAAGCATTAAAGATAAAATTTAGAATAGTATTTATCAAACTTATTAACAGTGGTTCAGCAAGAAATATATTTTGCATATGTATGTAATTTCATATAATACAGTTACATCTATGTGGTTATATATATGAATAATCCATGAATAAAGACATATATACACACATATGTTTTTCAAGCAAGCCTTACTTTTACAGTAGAGCTTACACTGTGATACTTTTTCTTTTTAATGTTAGTCACAAAAGGTAGATTAACTGCCTTACAGTTTGGGGAAAATTGATTTAGAAGATTACATTGAAAAAGAAATTATGACTAGTTGTAATCACAAAGCATAATGATGATAAAAATCAGTGCTTGAGAGTCTTCTGCTGGTGATCCTTTACTGTATGTACAATTCCAGTGATCCCAATTGGCTGGGGTTTTGAAGTAATCCTCTACTGTAAAGAATATCAGATATAGGCTGGACACAATAGCTTATATTTAACATATCAGCTACTTGGAGGTGTCCAAGCAAAGCAAATTGAAATTTAGAATTATTTAACTTGGAAGGTATGAGTTTATATTAATAATTATAATAGAGTATTGCCTTTTAAGAATTTTCACTAACCTCTTTAATGTGTTATAAAAGTTTTTTTTTCCCTTAGCTTTTTTTTTCTCTCTCTCTTAGAAATTATCTTTAGGATTAAAGCAAAAGAATCAAACTTGGATTAAGAAGACATGATTAGGATTTTCAGTTTTGAAAGTATGGCCTATATGAATAAATTCTAATTCTAGGATTTTACACATTTTACACATTTCAGTAGTAACAACTTAATTATCTTAGATTCTGTTACTATAGAATTGTGACCAAGATAAAGAAAGAAATAGAGTTGAGTTTTATATTGGTAATGGGAAAGAGGGAATTAAATAGAGTGATTGAGCTGAGATTAATTTCCCACTAGGTACATTGGAAAAATATTCTATGATTCTTTCTGTTACTGCAAATCATTGTAAAGAGACAGATGATGATGTATTTTTGAAAAAAAATTAAAACAAAAACTCCATACTTTTCAGGTTTGGCATGATTATCCAAGATGAAAGTACTAAGGCTAGTCTCAAAGGAAAGTTCTTTTTTTGTTGGGGGGCAGGGGTGTTCCAGTCGTTTGGGGCCTGAACTCTGGGCCTGGGCACTGTCCCTCAGCTCTTCAGCTCAAGGCTAGTGCTCTACCACTTGAGCCACAGTGCCACTTCTGGCTTTTTTCTTTTTGCTTATATGGTGCTGAGGAATTGAACCCAGGGCCTCATGCATGCAAGGCAAGCACTCTACCACTGAGCCACCTTCCCAGCCCCCCAAAGGAAAGTTCTTAAAAGAATGTTTTTCTTTTCATTGTCTCCAATTCCTTGGCTTGCTTGCCAGCCTTCAAGGAATTTATACCAGTAAATTACCTTACTGGAAAATGTGGAAAAATAATTACTCAGATGATTTTAAGAAAGTAGTTTTGTAGAAAAGGATCTAGTAACTTGAGGGTTATAATTACCTTCTAAAAACCAATAGAATCTGCACTTACAATTTTAAGTCATTTACATGAAAAACTACAGTATAGTGGCTTGCATTTGTAGACATTCAGGTGGGTGAGGAATGATTGGCATTTGAAATGGTCATATGTTTTTGGATATGTCAATAAATTTGAACAATGTACCTGTTTGTTTTTTGTGTTTTTTTTTAACCAATGAGGCATTTTTTTGCTAGCCATAAGAGATAGATACAGTTAGAATGTTGTTGCTAGGTATATTAAATTCAGTTTAAGATCATCACAGACTTGTTTTTATACAGGTAAATGGTTGCAGTTTTGTGATGAAAACAGGAATCCCCACAAATTTATTAAGGGTACAGTATTCAAAACTACTTATGATACTAATGTTTTATACTACTTAAGATCATCTGGCTTACTAACAGCTTTTTCCTGCATGTTCTTCTTTGGGTGTAGAATTTCTAAATGCATTTAATATTTAGCAAAACAAAATTATCTACTTTTTATTATATAACAGTTGTAACAGAATTTGCAGTTATCATCTTTATGCTCGTAAGATCTATATCAGAACAATGTAGATTTCCATTTTAGTAAACTTCCAGAAGGTGAGTGTGTGTAAAGTAAACCTTGATAATGAATTCAGTACTTGAATCCCTCTCTCTGTGGAATGTTGCTAGTACTGAATTATTAAAAGTCTTGGGTTGATTTAGGAAGAAGAATTTGGTGTTGATTCTTACTCTGAACAAGGAGCACAGTACGGTCATACTCAAGTAGAGATGATGGAAAATGAATTGGCTGGGAAACGGCATGAGATTGAAGAGTTAAACAGAGAACTGGAAGAAATGAGGACCACCTATGGGACTGAAGGACTGCAACAGGTATGTTCACCTTTTGTGGCTATTATTTCACAACTCACAGAAACAGGAAATTTGAGAAATAGTGTACTAGAGTATTTCTCTCTCTTTATCTCTTCTCTTTCCTTCATTTTCCTTCTCTTCTTCCTTCCTTCTCTCTTTCTTTCTCTCCTTCCTTCCTTCTCTTTCTCTCTTTCTTTTTCTTTTTCTTTCTCTTTCTCACTCTCCTTTCCTCCCTACCTCCCCCCTCCCTTCTTTTCTTTAATTTTCTTTTCTTTCCTTTTGTTTTGTACTGGGGCTTCAGCTCAGGGCTTGGCTCTTTTTGCTCAAGGCTAGTGTTCTACCAGTTGAGCTATGTCCAGCTTTCTGGGTTTTTTGGTTAATTGGAGATAAGAGTTTCACATACTTTTCCTGTCTGGGCTGGCTTTGACCTGCAATCCTCAGATCTCAGTCTCCTGAGTAGCTAGGATTACAGGCATGTGAACCACTGACGCCCAGCGTGTACTCTTTAAAACTAGTGCTTTGTTGTTTTTATTGTTGTTTGCCAGCCCTGGAGCTTGTACTCAGGCCCCATGCTCTTGCTTACCTTTTTCACTCAAGGCTGGCACTCCACCATCTGAGCCATGCCCCCAATAGTCTCTTGGATTTGTTTGCCCTGTCTTGTTTTAAGCCTTAATCCTTAGATTTCAACCTCTTGACTAGTTAAGATTATAGGCGTGGGCCACCAGTGCCCAACTAAAGAAAGGGTTTTAAAATGTTAACATTACTTCATAATTTCTGTCCTTGTACATAACATGATCTACTCCATTTAAAACTAGAATTCTATTACCAGGGCTTTAAAAAAAAACTTTATATACTAGCTAAATTAAATCAGTAAGCAGATGTTTTTCTATTCAGCCTCAGAGAAAGTAACAAGCCACAAAAAGCCATTATGATTATAAGGATGTCAGTGAGTCCTTGTAAATAATTGCTGTAGTTAGAGTGACATCTCTTGTCCAAGCCAGTTAGTTATGAAACCAAGGTAAGGAACACTGATGAAAATGATGACAGAGAGCATACTTCAGTTTTAGCCTCTTCAGAGACAAGTTGGGATAAAATCTATGAGTGTTATCTAGTAGCAGATTGAGGAGTCACAGAATGTAAAAAGGTTTGTTCTTCTAGAATTAATTGTATGAAAAAATCCAGATTAAATGTATCTTTTTCCTTCATGCAGGTAACTTTTTTTAAAGTTGATTTAGAAATAAATCAGTTCTAGCAAACTAATAGCATTCAAATATGGAAGGTTGTTTAAAAGTTATAAAAATTCACCAGTGTCTTTTGAGTATCTTATTTTGAAGACCAACATTTTACTTTAAAAAAATTAAGTCTAGCACTTGTTCTTTTCACTTGTTTTCTTTAGTTACAAGAGTTTGAAGCTGCCATTAAGCAAAGAGATGGTATCATAACCCAGCTCACCACTAATTTACAGCAAGCAAGAAGAGAAAAGGATGAGACAATGAGAGAATTTTTAGAGTTGACAGAACAAAGTCAAAAATTACAGATTCAGTTCCAGCATGTAAGTACTATTAAAACAAGAATTTTAGTACTGGTTTATTTTTTTCCCCCACTTTCCAGACAGACTTAAATTGGTTAGAAAGCCATTTACTTGTTTTTATTATATTAGTTCATTCTTTACTACGATACTTACTGAGAGGTTTGCTGTTATTATTTTCTTTGTTCTTCCCTGTCTTTGTTTTGAAATGACACCGTATCTTACCAGGCTGATTTAGAAAATTTTCGTAGACATAAACCTTTTATTACATCCTCCCTGTGCCAACCCAGGTATGGTTTTGTTTTAGTTAGGTCTAGTTTAGTTGGTAGCTCAACTGAATGAATTGTTTATTTTTTTTGAGAGTTTTAACAAGGGTTTATTGTAATATAACAGGCAAAAGTAGTGAAAAATAGAAAAGAGATATAAGAGTTAAAGTCTCCTCGATTTACTTTCAATTAGAGCTGCAGGTTTTGTTTATTTTTTTTTCCCCTTTTGTCTATACTGGGGCTTGAGCTCCAAAGACAGGGAAGAACAAAGAAAATAATAATATCAGACCTCTCAGTAAGTATCGTTAGTTCATACTCCAGTATGAACTAATATAATAAAAACAAGTAAACCATCCTTGTTGGTTCTCTACACTTGAGCCATACTTCCACTTCTGGCTTTTTGCTTGTGAATTGGAGACTAGAGTCTCTTGGATCTGTCTACCTAAGCTGGCTTTGAATGGCTTTGAATTATCAGATCTCAGCCTCTTGAGTAGCTAGGATTGTAGGGCTGTCACCAGTGCCTGGCTAGTAACCTTTTTTTTTTTTTTGTCGGTCATGGGGCTTGAACTCTGGGCCTGGGTGCTGTCCCTGAGCTCTTCAGCTCAGGCAAGCGCTCTACCACTTGAGCTACAGTGTCCCTTCTGGTTTTTCTGGTGATTTATTGGAGATAAGAGTCTCACGGACTTTCCTGCCTGGGCTGGCTTTGAACTGCAATCCTCAGATCTCAGCCTCCTGCATAGCTAGGATTACAGGCATGAACCACCAGTGCCCAGCAACTAGTAATCTTTTTTTCTTTTGATTTTTAATTTCTAATTTCTAGGAATTATTAATATTTTAAGGGAATTCATTATATAATTTTCATAAAGAGTAATTTTACTTATCCGTGTATTATGCCTTAATCATTTCTATGGATTTTATTTCTTGCTTTTTGAGATTGAAGCATATAAATAAATAAAAAGACAACTAAGTAACTGCCAAACTTTCCCAGGCTTTGGTTTGACTTTTTATCTGACGTAACTGTGATAATGAATATACCTTGGTATATGTCTAGATATAGCATTAACTACATTTTCAGAATTGTATTTTGAACAAATTCACTTTCACTATATGTTCTTAACCTTGCTTTTTCCAACACCCTCCTCTCCAAACAGTGTATGGTTGTTTTCATTATGGTATCTTTATATGTATACTTCCCCATCCTATCCCAGTACTCTTCCCCTCTCCCCTAAGTTTCTCTCTCCCTCTACTCCTCCCTTTACACTCATGTTTTATTGTTGTTATTACTGTCATTTTGACATAGATTCTAAATATGCGTGAAAGCATGAGATATTTGTCTTTTTGAGCTCAGTTTATTTGTTAGAGCCACAGTAATCTAATTTTATTAATTTGAAATAGCCTCAGCCAAAGGGAAGAATATAATCTTACAGAAATTATGAACAAAAATAAAGCCAGGCCTTTGAATGTAATTGGAACTAGAAACTTACTAATAATCCACAAGGTACTGTCATCAGGCCCCACTTGTCTTTGTGTGTGTGTCTGTTTTTTTCCTTACTGGACATACTTTCTCTGACTTGTCAAGTAAAAATCTTTTATAGTGCAGTCAGTCATGGCAACATGTTTGTTGAAATCTCAGGCCTATTAAACAGAGTTCCCAGATAACCATTGTAGATTGAGTGCTACACTAAAAGATGTCTAGTCTGTAGTTGCTCCAGAATTAATTTGAGATTTCTCTCTGTTTTCAAGTTACAGGCTAGTGAAACTCTGAGGAACAGCACCCATAGTAACACTGCTGCAGATTTGCTACAAGCCAAACAGCAGATCCTTACTCATCAACAACAGCTGGAAGAACAAGACCATCTATTAGAAGATTATCAAAAGAAGAAGGAAGACTTTAAAATGCAGATTAATTTCTTGCAAGAGAAAATTAAAGTATATGAAATGGTATACTAATTTTAAAAAATACTACCAATTTGTAGTATCTTTGAAATTTTAAAGCTTTTTATGCATGTAACATAAATTTTATAATTAAGAAAAGTATTTGATCAAAGATAGTTGTACTTAGACCTGTGTTAGCAGAATCAGATGTTAGGTAACAGTAGACTGAGATAACATGATGTATCCATTTCAAAGAAATAATGTTCTTACTGATAGATTCAAATTCTTAAATGCTATTTTCTGTTATTCCCATGACTGCTTTCTACATAGGTATGATTTTTCTAAAGGACCAGAATTCTCAGACTCATGGTACATTGATCTTCTGTGCGCTGTACTTGGTCACTGCAAGGTTTCTGTCTAAGACTTCTCCTTTTTAAAGTCTTTTGTCTTTTGACATTCTTTCTTTACATGTGTTAATAATACATTCATTCAAGGTATCTTTAAGAACTTTTACCAAAGACTCTTCTCTTGCTTATACTTTGATCATTTCTATGGATTTTATTTCTTGCCTTTTGAGATTGCAGTGTTTATGTAAAAAGAAACTAACTGAGCTAAAACTTACCCAGGCTTCAGTTTGACTTGTTACCTGATATAACTGTGATAATGAATATGCCTTGGTGTATGTCTAGACTTAGCATTAAGTACATTTTCAAAATTGAATTCTAAATAGAAACTGGGAAAAGTGTCTGCTGTGTTTTAAAAATTTCTGTGTAAACAACAAGCCTAGGGTTGAGTTGATCTTCCATAAGCACTTTAGGTGACTTAGATATTACTTGTGATATGGACAGTTAAGCATTGCATAATAAACTTCTGATTCATCTATGTACCCAAGGGTGCAGTTAAGGTAGACCCATAGTAATCTTTTTTTTGTTACTGTTGTTTTTATAGTGCTTGTTAGTAGAATACCTGGATTCATTTTTTACTTCAGAGAGAATCCAAAGAGTGTGTAATAATATAATTAACTATTAAAATACTAAATATTTGCCTAATACAATGACTCATGCCTGTAGTCCTAGCTACTCAAAAGGAATAGATCAGCAGGATCACAGCTTGAGGCTAGCCTGAGGAAAAAAAGTTACCAAAACCCCATCTCAAAAATAAAAACAAACACTGGGTATAGTGACACTTCTCTTTTATCCCAATGGAGGCATAAAATAGGAAGACCACAGTCCAAGCTGGCAAGAAGAGCAAGACTACCTGAAAAATAACTAAAAATCAAAAAGGGCTGGAGTGGTAGATTGCCTTCTCTGAGTTCAAACCCTGTTACTACTGAGGAGAGGAGGTGGCATTTGATTAGTTAGAAAAATGAAATAATACTGGTTTATTTATGGAAATTTTAGTCTGACTAGATTTTGTTTTATATAGCAGTACTGGATTGAATTCAGGGTCTCATGCACATTGGGCAAGTCAGACTGTGTTTATAGATTTAAAATTTTAATCATAACAATTAAAGATATTTTTTTTTCTTTTCAGGTAGGCTAAAATTGTTGTATTATTTGCTTGCAAGTAGTGTCTAGGTACACAAGTCCTAGGTGTCATTGCTATGGGAGAAACTGGGGCAAGGCTAACAATTACTTTTTTAGAAATATGTAAAAAGGAGATTTCTATCTGTTTTAATAATGAAGGTAAGCAATATTAGTGGCCAAAGTGCTTATATTTTCCTGTTTTTGTTTCTAAAGGAACAAGATAAAAAAATAGAAAACACAAATAAAAAAGAAATACAGGAAAAAGATGCAATCATTGAAGCATTAAATACAAAAATAGTAGAAGAAGAAGGAAAAAATATTGAACTCAAAGATAAAGTAACAGCTACTGATAAGTTACTGGGAGAATTACAGGAACAAGTTGTACAGAAGAACCAAGAGATAAAAAACATGAAGCTAGAGCTGACTAATTCTAAGCAAAAAGAAAGACAATGCTCTGAGGAAATAAAACAGTTAATGGGGACAGTTGAAGAACTTCAGAAAAGAAATCATAAAGATAGCCAGTTTGAAATTGATACAGTACAAAGAATGAAACAAGAAACACAGAGAAAGTTAGAACAGCTCCGAGCAGAGTTGGATGAGATGTATGGGCAGCAGATAGTACAGATGAAACAAGAATTAATAAAACAACATATATCACAGTTAGAGGAACTTAAAATACAGCATAAGGGAGAAATGGAGAATGCTTTAAAAGCACATTCAAATATTACAGTTAATGAAGATCAAGTAAATTTAATGAATGTGGCAATAAATGAACTAAATATAAAGCTACATGATACTAACTTTCAAAAGGAAAAACTCAAGGAAGAACTAGGGGTAATTTCAGGAGAAAAGTCTACTCTACAGAGACAGCTTGAAGATCTTCTTGAAGAATTGAGCTTTTTAAGAGACCAAATTCAGAGAGCTAGGCAGACAATAGCTGAACAGGAAAGCAAGTTGAATGAAGCATATAAATCTCTTAGTACAGTGGAAGATTTGAAGGCTGAAATTGTTTCTGCATCAGAATCCAGAAAGGAACTTGAGGTAAAACATGAAGCAGAAGTTACAAATTACAAGATAAAACTTGAAATGTTAGAAAAAGAAAAGAATGCTGTGTTAGACAGAATGGCTGAATCACAAGAAGCTGAATTAGAGAGACTGCGAACACAGCTCCTATTTAGTCATGAGGAAGAACTTTCCAAATTAAGGGAAGATTTAGAAATTGAACATCGAATAAGTATTGAAAAACTTAAAGATAATTTAGGTATTCACTATAAGCAGCAGATAGATGGCTTACAGAATGAAATGAGACAAAAGATAGAAACTATGCAGTCTGAAAAAGACAATTTGATAACTAAACAGAATCAATTAATTTTGGAAATTTCAAAGCTAAAAGATTCACAGAAGTCCCTTGTGAATTCAAAATCAGAAGAAATGATCCTTCAAATCAACGAACTTCAAAAAGAAATAGAAATACTCAGGCAAGAAGAAAAGGAAAAGGGTACTCTTGAACAAGAAGTTCAAGAATTACAACTTAAAACTGAATTCTTGGAGAAACAAATGAAGAAAAAAGAGGATGATCTTCAAGAAAAATTCACACAACTTGAAGCAGAGAATAGCATTCTTAAAGATGAAAAGAAGGCCCTTGAGGACATGTTAAAAACTTATACTCCTGTTAACCAAGAAGAAAATTTAGTTTTCATAGATTCCAGTAAGTCTAAATCCAAAGACTATAGCTGGCAGAAAGAAATACAGATACTTTCAGAGGAAAATAAGGACCTCAAACAACAATGTATTCATCTAAATGAAGAAATAGAAAAGCAAAGAAATACGTTTTCTTTTGCTGAAAAAAACTTTGAAGTTAACTATCAAGAGTTACAGGAAGAATATGCTTGCCTTCTTAAGTTAAAAGATGATTTGGAAGACAGTAAAAGTAAGCTAGAGTTGGAGTATAAAAGTAAGCTTAAAGCACTTAATGAAGAGCTTCATTTACAAAGAATAAATCCAACTGTGATGAAAATGAAAAGCTCCATGAGCTTTAGTGATGACAAAACTTTTATTTCTGAGCCATTGGAAATTGGTGAGGTTGTTGAGAAAGATACAACAGAGCTCATGGAAAAACTTGAAGTGACCAAGCGAGAAAAATTACAGCTGTCAGAAAAACTGTCTGATATTTCTGAACAACTGAAACAGAAACATGTTGAAGTTAACTTTCTAAGTGAAGAAGTTAAGTCTTTAAAGCAAGAGAAGGATCAAGTTTTATTGAGATGTAGAGAGCTAGAAAGCATAATTAACCACAACAGGGTAGAAAATATAAACATGTGTGATGTTCAGTTAAGTGTTTTAAAAGATGGAGATGTGACAATGACAAGTGGGGATTCTGGAAGACTGATTTCTAAACTAAGTAAAGGTTTTGGTGCAGAATCAAAAGTAATAGAAGATAAAACGCCTTCTGAACATACTGCTGTTAGAAAGGAAGGCAAGCAAGAACCATTATTTTCCCCATTATTAATAAATGAACTGTTGCCTGGATCAACTGAACCATTGGAAAATGATAAACTTCAGCAGGAACTTCATTTACTTCAATCAGAACAGGTATGTTTATTTATATTTAATAAGGCACATTAAAATATATTTCTAACTAAATTAGTTAGAAACAAATTCATATCCCATAAGAGAATAAAAATGAACCCTTTCATTTGAACCCATCTTTTATCATGTAACTATGTTTCTTAAACATTGCTGCCTGACTTTTAGTTAATGTTATATATTTTATTGGGAAAATAAAATATACTAATTGTTTTAGTTTCCTGAGGACTAATGTTGAAATGTTTATTGAGAATCTCAGCTTTTTAAAGTTAGTAACTTTATAGAGTAGTTACTTTATACTATTTTTTTCAAGATTCCAAAAATGTAAAGAACTCTTAAGATTTTTACTGTTCTCTACATAGTTGTTCATTAGTTATGAAATTATATTTCTCTGGGGAAATGAAACATTAAGTATTAGAGTTCTCTGAGTCTTATTATATCTGAAGAGGAAAAACACTGTTAACTCTAAATATAGTGAAAGGAAATAAAGACTGCATATATTGAGCAATAAAAACATTCCTGATAATTTATATTTGCCAGATATCGACATTAGAAATAACAAGAAAATTCTAGTGTCTGCAATATAATTTATAAACACATAAACACACACAGCCTTTATATGTTTATAAATACATGAAACAAATACTTTTTGGATGTCTTACCAGTATGAGTGTAGTGGTGAATGAGAGAGAGGGGAGTTTCTATTCTCAAGAGCATAACTTCTAGTGCAGGAAGTAGATAATAAATAAATGAGCCGGGCGTTGGTGGCTCACGCCTGTAATCCTAGCTACTCAGGAGGCTGAGATCTGAGGATCACGGTTCAAAGCCAGCCCGGGCATGAGAGACCGTGAAACTCCTATCTCCAATAAACCACCAGAAAACCGGAAGTGGCGCTGTAACTCAAGTGGTAGAGGGCTCACCTTGAGCTGAAGAGCTGAGGGACAGCACCCAGGCCCAGATTTCAAGCCACACAGCCGACAAAAAAAATAAATAAACAAAAATAAATAAATAAATAAATGAGAAACAAGTAGAGTGGTTAGAAATGGTGATCAGTTCCCTAAAGAAATAAAGCAGAGGGGCTGGGAAGGTGGCTCAGTGGTAGAGCGCTTGCCTTGCATGCATGAGGCCCTGGGTTCGATTCCTCAGGACCACATAAGCAAAAAGAAAAAAGCCGGAAGTGGCGCTGTGGCTCAAGTGGTAGAGAGCTAGCCTTGAGCTGAAGAGCTGAGGGACAGTGCCTAGGCCCAGAGTTCAGGCCCCATGACCGGACCCAAAAAAAAGAAAGAAAGCAGAAACTAGGCATCAGTAGCTCATACCTGTACTGCTAGCAGCTTCTTAGGAGGCTGAGATCTGAGAATCCTGATTTGAAGCCACCAGTTCATCATCCACAATAGAAGAAAGTGGAGCTGTGGCTCAATTGGCAAGACATTAGCCTTAAACACAAGTTCTAGTACTAGCACCAAAAAAGAAAGAGAGAAGGAGGGTGAGAGGAGGGAGGGTAAAAGGAAGAAAGGAAAGAAAGAAAAGGAAATAAAGGGAGGGAAAAGAAAAGAGAAAAGAAGGGAAAGAAAGAAGGATGTTATGGGCTGGGAAGGTGGCGCAGCGGTAGAGTGCTTGCCTTGCTTGCATGAGGCCCTGGGTTCGATTCCTCAGCACCACATAAACAAAAAGAAAAAAGCTGGAAGTGGCGCTGTGGCTCAAGTGGTAGAGCACTAACCCTGAGCTGAAGAGCTGAGGGACAGTGCCCAGGCCCAGAGTTCAGGCCCCACGACTGGACCCCCCCACCCAAAAAAAAAAGCAGGATGTTACAATAGAGACTGATGGGTAGCATAGTTTTGAATGCAACATTATTTGATATGTCCTTTGAACTGAGATCTGAATCTGAATGACAGGAGGAACCTATCATGTAAGAGTTCGAACCATCCATTGTGAAGCCATGGGTGAGTTTGTAGAAGAGAATGAAGGTCTTTGTAGTTGGCTTAGAGAGGGGCAAAGGAGGAAAAAGAAGAGTTTGAAAACAGAGCAGACCAAACATTAAGAGGACCTAGATTTTAAGTGGGAAGTGACTGGAAAATTTTTATTTCTAATAACATATTTACAGTAATGACCTGATCACATGTGGCAAATTCTCATTCATCATTACCAAGAGAACTTATGGGTAGAGAGGGGAATAAGAAGTGTATATGTACAGAGAGAAGTTCACAGAGGAAATGCATCAGTGACTTACGCATCAGCAACAGAGAGCAGCCTAAATATGCTCAGACTAATGCAAAACCACAAAAATACTCTTGCTATTGGTACTAAGCTTAACGATTAAAACATGTTGTATTAAAACCAAAATAAATGTAGCCATAAGGACGTTCTTGGTATTTTTTAACTGAAAATAAATTTGAAATGGTGGGTGCAATAATCCTAGCTATTCAGAGGCTGAGATCTGAGAATTGAATTCAAAGTCAGCCTATGCAGGAAAGTCCATGAGACTTTTATCTCAAGTCAACTACCAAAAAGCTACAAGTGGGGCTGTGGTTTTTGGTGGTAAAGTGCTAGCCTTGAACAAAAAAGCTCAGGGATAGCACCCAGACCCTGAGTTCAAGCTCTAGACTAGCACAAAAAAAAAAAAAATAAACATGGATAACTTTGGAATACAATTCCAAATTATTTTAGTACTCTTGGGAAATTTGGACAGAAAGAAATCAGAAATCTTCTCAGTGTTCAGATGCATGGAAGATAAGAACATCACGACTAATATAAGTGCTAGTTATTTATACTAAGTAAAAGTCATGGATTGAAATGTATTTGTTTAAAATTCAAAGTAATTTGTGTTGGAAGTCAGTAATTTCAGGAGAAACTGCTACAATGGTCTGCCTACTATACTCCTACTGCTAGAATAATGTCTGACACATAGTAGGAAGTTAACACATTTTTTTGGGGGGGGGTCCGGTCGTGGGCCTGAACTCTGGGCCTGGATGCTGTCCCTCAGCTCTTCAGCTCAAGGCTAGCTCTCTACCACTTGAGCCACAGCGCCACTTCCGGCTTTTTATTTCTGCTTATGTGGTGCCGAGGAATCGAACCCAGGGCCTCATGCATGCAAGGCAAGCGCTCTACCACTGAGCAACCTTCCCAGCCCTAACACATTTTTATGAATGAATAAAAAGGACAAAAAAGGAATCAACAGTGGAACAACATAGGTCTTCATGTTAGGAAGATTAAAATAGCTTTTTTTTTTTTTTTGATCTGGTCATGGGGCCTGAACTCTGGGCCTGGGCACTGTCCTTCAGTTCTTCAGCTCAAGGCTAGTGCTCTACCACTTGAGCTACAGCGCCACTGCTGGCTTTTTTCTTTTTTTGCTTATGTGGTGCTGAGGAATCGAACCCAGGGCCTCATGCATGCAAGGCAAGCGCTCTACCACTGAGCCGCCTTCCCAGCCCCTAAAATAGCTTTTTATAATTTGCTGTTCAGTATTAAGTCTTAATTGACAAAAGGAAAAGATACATAATATCAATAGAAAGATAGTTAATTGTCATAATTCATTGGTATATAAATAAGAAACTAAGAAGATCTACACAAAATGAACCACAAAGCCATAAAGTAAAGTAAGTATGAAAAAGCAGTCCCAGAAATGTTATGTAAAAGAAATTTCCTGAATTTGTATCAGATTTATAATAATGGTTGCTGGTAGAGAAGAAGTAATGAGAAAGTAACAGATTGAATTTCATCTCTATAGTGTTTAAATTTTACCTGTAGTGTTTTCTTTCTAAATGAAAAGAGTTGTGTTAGGAGTAAGAGATTTGCATTGTGAATAGATTAGTATTTGTTACAGTATTCTTTGCATTTATTGGTATTTAACATGTTTTAAAACAAAAATCAAGTATAAGTCATACTGGTTACAGCAAGTATCAAGTTTTATTATAAAATTTAAATTACGAAAGCGTGCTACTTTTCTTGAAAATAGCAAATGGATCAGTGCAACTGAACAACAAATGAGAAAATAGAATTCAGTTCATTTTGTGAATTTTTAAACTGTAAATTAATGCATTTTCTCTTTATAGTTCATAATATGCAAAAAAGAGTTACATTATTTTATTTGTAAGGATGTTCTAACATTTATATATGTATATATTCACTTAAAGAATGATTTAAGGCTACAAATGGAAGCTCAACGCATATGCCTCTCTCTGGTTTATTCAACTCATGTGGATCAGGTTCGTGAATATTTGGAAAATGAAAAAGATAAAGCTCTTCACAGTCTTAAAGAGGAGCTTATTTCTGCTCAAGAGAAAAGGATCAAGGAAATTCAGAAAATACACCAGTTAGAGCTTCAGAATGTAAAAGCACAAGAAACAGGTAAATAGTTTTTGACTTTTAAATACCATAGAGCTGATATCACTAGAACCCACCATACTATAATTTTATCCTTGTTTCAGAACCAGTAGGAGAAGGTGGCCCGTATTATTTGGTTCTGAGTTGATTTGTTCATATAATCATTATACATTCATTGAAGTGCTTGGGAAAGGTAATATCCTTGAATCATTTTCCCATCATAATACATTCAGAAAGCATATATAAAATCAACTGATACATTCTGAAATAGATGAATGGGTAGGAAGAATGGGAGGGGAAAGGAAGGGAAAAACTAGTGCTTTCTGAGTAGATGAGTAGAGGTGGTAGGCAGATATGATTGGGTTGGAAATTTAAGGAAACCTTTGAAGAATTAAGAATTGAGCTGTGAGAGTGCATCCATCTTGGAAAACTGAGAGAAAGTATCAGGGATATTGCTGGAGACATTGACAGAGCTTGGTAAGAAAAAAACTTGACCCTACAGAAAGTATATTTAAACATTATGCTTTTGAAAAGACCCACTGTAGGATTTTAAATAAAGTAATAAGATTTTTTTTAGACGACAGTAGTGGGGTGGATTGGATACCACGTACATAATTATTGGTGGGAAGACTCACTTTCAACCTTGGCAGTGATAAACTGTTAATTACACTAAATATTATGGAGAGTAGAAAAGAAAGTTCAAGTGTTAAAATGGTAGTTAGTAGTTGGTAGTTAGTATTAGTGAAAGTGAGAATAAATAAGAACCATCCCTAAGTTTCTTGCTTGGGTTACTGGATTAAATGTGATTCCAGTCACAAAGAAGAGCATATTTATAGACAAATTAGTTTGGGACATACTAAATATACTTACTGACTTTGAAAAATAAATATTCACTAGTCATTGAAAATGGAAGTCTGAAAATAGAACTCAGAAATTAGAGGCTCAAGATAAAGATGTAGAATTAACAAGGAAATGAAAAGTAAGAAGCCCTAATGCTAAGGTTAATAATGAAACATCCTGGGAGACATAAGATGGCACTGTATGAAGCAGTAGCATTCAGGGGACCATAAATGGAAGGAGAGACCCATTTATGGACTCAGTGAAGATAACTTTTGTCTTTAATAATTATATAGTTGCTCAGTTAACTAGGATTCTTCTATTTAAGGTATGGTTCAGAAGTTTTTAATAGAATTGCTCTTTTCAATACAGAATTTCAAATAAGAACATTTTCCTTTTTTCCTTTAGGAATTCTTTTGGTTTGAATTTGCATGGAATAATATTTTTAAATGTATGTTTGCTTAATTGATCTCCTGTTTAGAGAGTCTGTTGAATATTTTCAAGAGTAGAATGAAACAAAAAGTCTTGGCATACATAGCATGTAAAAAAATATTTTTTATTTATCTTATTGGTGGCACAGAGGTTGGAACTCAGGACTGTGTGCTAGCTCAACCACTTGACCCATGCCTCTTGCCCCATTTTTCTTTACATAGTTTCATAGGCTCCTACATTTTTACTCAGATCAATTCTCCTGTTCACCCTTCTCCATGTAGCTGAGATGACATACACCTACCACTGCATTCAGAACTTTCATTGGTTGAGATGTCATGTCTTGAGCTTTTTGCTCGTGTTGCCTCAAATCCTGAGCTCTACTTCCCAAGTAGCTAGGATTACTGACATAAGAAATCAAATCTGATGCTTTTTCCTTTATTATCATTATTATTTTTCAGTACTAGGGACCAAACATTCAGCTAATTTTTTTCTATTCTGAGCTGTACCCTCTGCCTGAAAAGAAAAATAGTGATTTTGAAACTTTTGTCTCAGCTTCATAGAGAGGTATATAAGAAATAATGATATATGTATGTTGCATAATATAATATTTCTTATATTAAGTGGTCATTGCCTTACATAACTTTGTAAAATAGAAGCTAAAATTATACAAATTTTATCTGAGATAGTTAACATTTAACAATGGAAACTAACTTGGAAAAAATGAAGAATTTAACACCAGTTTTTTTCAGGGAAGCTTCTAATTCAGAGATAGGTTAAATGTAATAGCACTCAAGCATATATAAGTTAACTAACAATATCTGTTCTATTAGGTGATGGAGCAAAGCCTTTGAGGAAGCTCATTGGAAGACTTCAAAAGGCAGTGTCTGAAGAATGTTCCTCTACTTCAAAGGTAAGATATTAATCATACAGTTTTTATCTTCAGACTCTGAATGAAAAAGTTGAGAATTGAAAGAGATTATATTTGGAAGACCAAAAGTGAGGAAGAGCACTTAGAACCATGAAAGAGGAGTAGGAGAGCTGTAAAGTGTTAGGAAACAGAAAGGGATGCTCACACCTGTGATCCTAATTACTCAGGAGTCTGAGATCTGAGCATCATAGTTTGAGCCCAGTCCTGGGAGGAAAGTCTATGAGACTCCAATTAACCACCCAAAAGCCAGAAATAGACCTGTAGTTCAAGTGGTAGAGCACTAGCCTCAGAGCCAAGAAGCTCAGGATCAGCATGCAGGCATGAGGACCCAAAAAGAAAATTAACCCAAAAAGAAAAACTAAGAAACATTTTGCAGGTTCATCCCTATCTACCCTGGTAGAGAGGGAAAGCCAAAGTTGCCTTCACCATGTAAGCAACTGACTTCTGTAACAAACTGGCAGACATATATGTGGGACAAAATCTATACCTCCTGCAAGAAATAGTAGAAAAAAAATTAAAAAATTCATATGGAATCACATGAACCCCTAATAGTCAAGACAGTCATAAGACAAAAAGTAATGCAGGAGATATTACAATACTAGACTTTATATTATAGTATAGTCAGCTGGTGGTTCATGCCTTTAATCCTAGCTTCTCAGGAGGCTGAGATCTGAGGATTATGGTTCAGAGTCAGCCCAGGTAGTAAATTCTGTGAGATTCTTATCTGCAGTTAAACAAAACAACAAAAAAAAGTGGGGGGAGGGAGGGAGGATAGAAAGGAAGGAAGGAAGGAAAGGAAGGGAGGGAGGGAGGGAGGGAAGAAGCAAGGGAGGGA